TGTACGCTTATGCACTATAGTGCTATTAATACGATCACTACTATCTAGTTGATCACTCACAAATTATTAGTAATCACATTGGCTTACGGTAGCATTTTGAAAGAAATTAGAGAATTTCGATCGATACCCTTTGGCTCACCCCTAAGTGAACAAAGAATTTGAGAGAATATATGTCATATAACATATTTGATCTATATGTCACAAGCTCCAATAACGTGAAGTTAATTAACTTAGGTTTGTTTATTTAATCAAATTTTCATTACAGTTGTGTAAGCTCATGCATTACAAGCAAGTCAATATTTTACGATTGGTTCGTAATTACCGTAAAAAAAAGTCACTTTACTCTCTAAAGTATACTCTTATTCACCCTATGATATCAACCTGTATGTAAGTTACAAGTTGATTGATTAGGTTAAAAGTTTGTAAGTTTGTTTTACTAATGCTTTAATTACATATTTTACTTTAAGTATCACTAATTTTTCTAATCAACAATTGTAATCTAATCATAAACTAACACTCAGAAAATGTGAAAGGGGGCAATTTATGTTGTCAAGAAGTTGGATGATTGAGGAAAAAAAAAAAAAAAAAAAAAAAAAAAAGGAATTAAAGANAAAAAAAAAAAAAAAAAAAAAAAATTAAAGGAATTAAAGACAAAAAGAAAAACAAAAATGTAGGCGCGGTTTTTTCTTTTTTCTTTTGTATGAAACCCGCAAAGAAAAGGAAAACTATATTTTCTCTCAAAATTTGGAAACTTCCATATACACATCAATCTCAGTCCTCTCTCGCCTTCTCAATGGAAAATCTCGAGCTCTCTATTTATCTCATCAACATTTTTGCCCTACCTTAGCTTTCTTCCTCTTATTGACAATCCCTTTGCCATTTATTCTCTCAATTTCCTTCGCGATACTTCAGTCCCAGGTATGCCCGATTTCCCTCCATATTTAGTGTTTTCTGTCCTACTCGATTTCGCTAGGTTTTTTTGGATTTGCGAAGAATGTGCATAACTTTAGGGTGATTTTGATGCTTCCTGTGGGTTTATGTGTGTGTATATACACATATATATCTATTTTCTACATTTGTTTCCTGTTTTTGTGGGATTTCCCCCCGAAGATGGCTTGAAAGATGATGTTACTAGCTTTAAGTTCGGGATTTTTTTTTTTCTCTTTTTCATTTCCACTAGAATGAAAAGGATTGTTTTTATTTTATTATTCTTCTTTTACCAATTCCGCTGGATTTTGATTCTGTTGCATGCAATATAGATTTTTCCAATGAGTATTTTCTTTCCTTCTTTTTTTTATTTTATTATTTATTTTTTAGTCTACCTGTTTTAAGATTTTGAGCTATGTTCGAGGGCGGTGTTTGCGAGTTTTTTACAAGTAGTTCTTGCGGGATTTTGCACGCGATCATGAGTTTCACAAATATTGGTTGCAATCCTATTTTTTCCATTAACTTGTGATGTTCAAGTTTAACCAGTTTGTTTGTGACTTCTGTAGGAATCATTATTTTTTGTTTTTTATTTTTTGCGACGGCTAAATAATTGAGGAAACGCTTGGCCCAACCTTGCAGACGTATTTTTGAAAAAACCTGTTTCGGAAATTGTTTGACACAAACCATTTTTTTTTTTTTTTTCCTGTTTGGTCATTTCAATAGATAGTTTATACTTTAGGAAGTGAATGAGTGGACTCATTGGTGAAAAGAAAAGTAGATTTACATAATTAAAAATTGAAATGAAGAGTGAGAGGGAAGGGAGCAAAATGGACATGGGGAGGGAGAAAAATTTTAACTTAATGAAAAAGAACTTACATGATGCATTATGTATCTAATATAAAGGTTTGATGTTCCCCCACATTATTGAACTTAAGAAATCAGAGGATATTAAAAGATGTAAAAACATTAAGAAATCAGAGGATTTCTAAGAATTTATTTAGAGAAGCAAAGGGTTTTTGGAAGGACGTTTTTAATATCTTTACAAAAACAAATTTAACAATAAGAGGAAAAACATCCCAAGGCACTAAGTGCATGCCTTAGTAAGGGTGTCTCACTAAAGTGAGGCGTTTTATGTGAGATTTCTTTACAGAACACCGAAAATGTATACTTAATATTGAAGGAAATAAATAAATGAACAGTATTGATGAGAAAATAAAAAGTATACTTAATATTGAAGGAAATAAATAAATGAACAGTATTGATGAGAAAATAAAAAGTATACCTACAACTAAACTGAAGTTCTTCCCTGGTTTCATTTTTTGGAACTACTTGCAAAGATATAATCTAGCTGAAGCAAAATCCAAAGCAGAAGATAATGTAGCGAAAACAGAACAACCCCAATGTTGGAACGAATGTAAAAATTCCAAAATTTATAATCACTCTTCAAGGCGTAATTGATTGGGAGCAGAGAAAATGTTTGAATTTCTCATTGTGAAATTACTTGGCCAAATTACAAGGGAGAAATTTTAATGCAAACTATCTTAGTTTCTATACCACCAAGAAATTTATTTAATATGTTTTAAATGTGGGGAGTGGATCAAAAGTCTCTTGCCCATAAAGGGTAGATTTCACAAAAACCTTGAAGCTAGGGTTGAACCATGTTCAATATTAGAGAATGAAAGAAGTTATAAGGAACTCTTACTTGAAAATCTTGAATGAAGATGGTAAATGCTAGAAAATGAATAAAACAAGTCATGCCATTTATTTGTTATGGTTGAATCTTGAACTTATTCAAACCCGGAGGGCTTCTTTTTAAATGATGGAGATCCAATTTAAACTGGAAGTAAACTTTGAATGCCAAAAGTTACATTTTTTTGCAACTTTTCTGATTTGGCTGCATATGGTAGTTTCAAATAATTATTATTTTGATATTGAGTTTCTTACTTGAATTTGTGTGATATTTGGCTTAAACATGATATTTTACATATACTTCTGGGACCCTTCTTTATGGTGCGCTCGTAGCAAAGATTTTTGTAATTTTGGTTTTGTTCAATTGAAGTGGGGATGGCTCGTCTACCCTTGTTTCATATTTTGATTTGAATATATAATAGTCTGGGTTTCCTATCAAAGAAAAAAGGATATTAAAGATTTGTTTTCTTTCTTAACCTTGAAATATACTGTTCCTTTTGCTGCAGGGGAAGGGAATTAATCAGTGCTATTGATCAAGCAATAATTTAATAGGATTAAAGAGGATGAGTCGGGCTGATCAAGGAATCAGCGCTGATAATTTAGCTGATGTTCATTTAAAGCCAAAACGTGGTCGTCCCAGAAAATATCTGAAGTTAAATTATGATGACAATACTCTTAATGCAAAGAAAAGAGGTAAGAAACATTTGGAGGCTATTCCTATTTCTCCCGGTTCTGGAGTAAATGGAGACCAATCAGATCCAGCAATTCAAATTCAAAATGTAGCTGATGTGGGACAGGTTGTGTCTGGTGTCATTGAGGCAGTATTTGATGCTGGATATCTGCTGTGTGTCAGGGTTGGCGGCGCTGGAGTAACTTTGAGGGGTGTTGTTTTTAAGCCTGGGCATTATGCCCCTGTTTTGGCAGTGAACGATGTGGCCCCAGATGTTCAAATGATCAGTAGAAATACGGTTCCTTTTGCTACAGAAAACAAAACTAATGGAAATAACCCCCGATCTAAAAATGGAGAAGTTCCATCCCGTGAATCATCAGGTGCCAAACTGGGGTTTAAATGCACACCTCCACACTCTACCTGGGATGCTTCAAAAGACAAATCTATATTTGCCCAAATATCACCTTCGCGAAGCTCAAGAGGTTCTGTGGTCCCTGTTGTACTGCAGCCTGCCAAATTAACTAATGGATCCTCCGTTGCCACTAAATCATTTACAATTCAAACTGCTGGTATTGACTTGAAAGGAAAAGAGGTTCTTGTAGGTACTTCTACAGCAAAAGAATCAGCTCCCGCCAATCCTTTCCAACCCCAAACTAGCCAGCAGGTCTTACAGGGTGATGCTTCTGTTGAAAATAGTTCTGACGACCAATCCTTTGTAGTGGTAGCCCGTGATTCAGACGGTAAATCAATGACATTGCCTAGAACGCCTTTCGAGAGTCTTGTGACTGAAGTGATCAAGAGAATTCAAACCCCTTCTCTGTCGACTGAAATGCAGACCGAGAATGACAAGTCAACTGGTGGTAAGACATCAGCTAAAGAATGCAAAGGTAACTCGGAGGTTGTGGCCAACATAGTGGATGGACCTTTGATGATTGAACCTCTAAAAGCAGTGCAGCCCCATGATGACAGTTCAGAATCTAATCCCAAAGCTCTGGATGATGAGTCTAGAACTGGCAAAATGACTGAACTGTTACAGGTAGACAAGACTTACAACTGGAATGTATTTATATCAATCTTCAAGTATTTGATTAGATCACAATTATTTCTATATGGGAAGAATTCACTTGGTTATTGCCACCCTGCTTGCACTAATGTTGCAGGAAAACATGATGGAAACTCCAGAGCCATGGGCTGAAGTGCAGAACCTGGGTTTGGTGCTCAAGTTAGATGAGCCTGGGGAGTCAGAAACAGTGATTGAAGCTGGTAACCAAAAGCAAATCTAAGAAACATGTATTGTCATGGTTAATATTTCGGTATAGAAGGTAACATATGGTGTAGCTGTTTTCTAGATGCTACCTCACGTCTAATCCTAACTGGGTTTAGTTGGATGATTGCATGCAAAGTTATTATATTTTTCTAGTTGGATATTTGGACAATTTCATCTGTGTGAGAGTACAGTAGCTAAAATCCTTAAATTATAAGGTTTTTGTAGGGCAGTTGGATTGAATTTATGCAAATGAAAAGTTTTTAAGGCCAAATTGTCCAAAAAACAGTGGCTGCTGCTCGTCATATGAAACAAATAGTACTCTACTCTTCAAGGTTGCTGCGCGTCACAAGGGACAATTTGATATGAACAGATCTTAAACATTTTATTTACGAAATGGCCAGTGAAAATTGGAATCAGCAAGGAATCACATTTATTTAAGATGGACACTAAAATAACAAGACTATCTTGCCTTGCTTTTTTCCAAACAACTTTTATAATTTGAAACCAACTCATGAATGAGAAAGACTCGGAGTTCCCCTCACAAGAAAGAAATAATGCTGATCCTAAACAAATTTTAATTCAACCTATACAGAGTTCAACAGACTCTATCCACCAATCAATGGTAAAATGTCCTGATTTGAATGGAAACAGTGCATCCCCCCTCCGATAAAAAGATAAATGCTAATAATTAAATCAAAATAGGAAAAAACTTTCAGAGGACCAAAATTTTGCCAAGCTGTGGTTGACTACATGAAAAATTAACAGTAGAAACAAATTCATTAGAACTTGGTGGTGAAGAATGCATTAGTTCCTGGCATTGGCATTGGGCGGTTGAGTGGGAAGGAGGAGGGCTGCAAAATTGGAATGTGGTTTGGAACTGCGGCAAGCGGTTGGTGGCCACTGGCCATAAATGGCGGAGGAACGCAAAACTGCAATGCTTGTGCTGCTGCAGTGCCTGCATTCGTAGAGGTCTTTTAAATGAAGAAAAATGTCGATTTGTTTAAATTGAAATATTATTTGGATTTAGTAGCATAATCTTAACGATCAATTTTGAAACCGATACTGTAATTGCCTTCTCACTTATGATAAAAACAGCGGCATCATAAAAAAAATAAATTGAGAAAAAAAATACCGAAGCTTATGATAAAAATTTTGAGCAATGCAAAGGAAATACTCGTCATTAGCCGGGAAAAAAAATTCACCTTGATGTTTTGGATATTGCGCGGGCTGTGTTGTCAACAAAGGGCAAGGTGGTACCGGTGAGACGACTGTTGCACCTTGAGCCAAGTCCTGAAATATGAGACGAGGTTAATAGACAATTTGGACAGGGGAAGGAATAAAAATAATTTAAAAAAAGGGTAGCAGGAACCAGAAAGAGGTCACAGAAAGTTGAGGCATAGAGATATGCAACGTAATGAAAACAGATTATACAATGAATTGACCTAGAGGAAAAACCAAAGAACTTGAAATAATCCGATTTAAATTACTTCACAACTCACAATTCAAGAAGTAAATATTACGCTGCTCATGGCGTCAAGAAACATGAGGTGAAGAAAAAGATCAATTCTACAAGGTCAAATAATTAAAAGCAATAGAATTTATGGAAGGAGAGTTGATACTTTTAACAAATGGGACACTAAATACTTACATGGGAGACTGGCTGCATATAAACAAGTTGCCCAAAACGACTGACCATAACCTGTAACAATAAGAGAAGTGCAAAGGTTACCAACAAAACATGACCTGGTCATGGATAAAAACTAAGGTACGTTCTGATCTGTTCACAATTATTTTTTTCTATTGAGAAACATAGAGACCTCATATATTCCAAAAGAAAAAAAAAAAAAAACATAGCCAGCATAGGGATGAGGAATCCTTAATCTGCCAACTCAAATTGCAACTTTATTGGGAAGAAATTAAATGGAACAGTTAAATATGATCCTGTTTCCACTTACTGCTGAAGAATTTTGGGGCCCAAAGGTCGGGCCAGCCTGGAGAGGATACTGACCAACATATCTAAGTGGCTGTGTCCTGGTGCCCACATGTCCCACCATCTGTAGTTTATAAAAGGGTAACTTGGCTCAGCAAAGTTGCAGGAAAGAAGTTTATTACCACAATTGCATTGAAATTGTCATAATGCTATTATCATTCTACTATGATTATAATACAATTAATGAACTAAATTACTACGTGTGACAATTACACATGTCTTGTTGTAATAGAGTAGAATGAAGTTTCAGTGCAACGGTTGACTAAAATAGTAATATAACCACCATGTATCCTCACCAAATAATCTTAGGCAACTAAACTATCATTGGAAATGCAAATGCCAAGTACAAGTTCCAGGTTTCAATACTCATCAATCATTAAATCTGTTACCTAATATACAGTACATTTTTTAAGAACTGATCGCATAAACAAGACCTAAAATTTCCTTCTTGAACGTTGGAAATGCCTAGGCTGGAACTCTGGAATTATACATTCAGTTTGAGTTTTAACCTTAATTCATTTTGGTTGTGCGATAGAGAACAAACAACTAGAAGAAGAACTTATTTAGATCCTCATAAGGCTAAATAGATATGATAAGAAAGACAAAAGGAAAACTGATCAAGAGAAACCTCGAACAATACGTACGGGTTGAGAAAATTGAGCAACATTGCCATCAAATCCAGCTAATGAGTTGCCATATGGGACAAACTTGGCGGCAGGCACAGATGAACGAGGTACAAAAGGACTGAAATCTAACTCTGGTTGAATAACAGCCGAAGGTACAACTGGTGGTGAGTTGTTTGAAATGTAAGCCAGGTTTGCAGCCACAGGAGTTGCATGATTTGCTGGCATAATATTTGCATTGGACGGAGAGAAGAGTTTGGCTCTTGGATTAAGCTTAAATTCCTGCGTAAGTAATAGAAAAATTATTTCACTAGTTATCAGAAAAGAAATATCAATTATAGTTTTTCTTGTCATCGATGTGTGATCAATCCCCACGAGCCTAACTTAACAACCATGAATAGGACCATATTGTAAAAGAAATGTTCGAACACTTAACTCCTAAAAAAATACATCAAGAAGTCTCTTAGGAATCCATTTCATAAAATAAAGGAAAATTCAATCAAAAGGTTCCATTAAGATTTTTCTGAGAGAAAAGGATGCTATTGTCTAACAAAAAGACACAATGTCATAGACCAAACAGTCCTTCGAATCAATTCAACCTCTCAGCAAACAAATACACAAAAGTTGAACATTATGCAGCTAATTTCAAAGTTGAATTTCTTAACAGGATTTGAAAGAAACAAGGCAACGTTGAAAAGAATCATCACTTTAACATAAATGTACGTAGGCCATAGTCAAAGGTGATAAAACCGTGCACAACCTACCTCACATGGAAAAGTTTTCATTATGATGCATTTTCATTTCAAAAGGATGGGAACTTCATTCAAATTTCAATACATTTCTAGATCCAAATCTCATACATCAAAGGGAATAAGCTTATCTCAGTTGATTATGTTTTCGCTAATTACCCACTTTACCATCCTTCCCTTTCAAGATCCCTTCAAAACTAGGCTCTATGATTGAACTTTTCTTTTTACAAGACATGTTTTCTGTTAAGAAAGAAAGAACGTTTTCGAAATAAATAAATAGTAAATTCCTTATGAAGAAAAGGAGTGGCAATCTTCTTGTTGGATGGAAGAATGTCACCCTGCCCAACCAATCACGTGGGCTGACAATTAGTAATATCCGAAGAAAATACCCAGCTAATTAATTATCTCAGTATGATGTGAATCCAACCTTTCCTCCATTGACTGTACCCAAAGGAACTATTACAAGGAGCAAGGCAAAGAAATTTTGAACCTCAGAAGAAAATAAAGTGGACAAAGGAAAAGTCGTGTAGTTTGAAAGATGGCATAATGGACAGAAAACCTGTGGAGAATTTAAGTAAGGATATGCCTGCATTCTTCTAAGTTGCAATCCTGGACTTTAAAGTGTGGATATGAATAGATTTAGTTCCACTACCTTCAGCTCTTAAATGACACTCCCTTTCTCTTTGCCTTATCAGCAGATCCTACAATGATAAGCAATCTATTCAAAATTAATTTTATCGTGGTTGGAATACTTGTACTACCTCTAAGGTAAGAGAAGTTGCTGATGGTTTTGGATGTAAACAACAAGTAGCGTCTTCCTTTATAATTAGCATCTTATAAGGGTTTCTGGGTGAATGAGTAGCATCCTCCTTAATGAAGTGGCCAGAAGTTTTGGGTACAAGGACAAGAAGTGTCTCTGGAGGGTTGGTAATGATGCTCGTGTTGCTTGTCTACAATGAAAGGCCCTAGAAAAAGACAATTTCCTTTTATCTCAATTCTGTGCAACTTCAAGATGCTAAATTAAGATTAGATCAAAGAATATTTTGTGTTTTTGCAAGTTGGTGAGTGATGTGTAAAAAGAGGGGATGAACTGGTGACCACCTCTTCCTTTGGTACCACCTTTAAGCAAGAAATTGAGTAAGAAATTGGCAACGATCCCTTCCTTGGGGGATATTGTACTGATATGGGAATTTTGGCTGGGAAGAATAGTAGAATTTTTAACACATAAATATAGCATGATAAATTTTTAACAAACCCTGGCAGATGATCTGTAATATAACAATTCAACCCAGTTAATTGGATGAAGGTATATTTTGACATCATCCAAATAAAAAGGTACTAAAAAGTAACCAAAAGTCTCGTAAACATCCTATCTTATAGTTCTAGTAGTGACAGTGATAAATTGATAATGATATGTACCTTGCCACTTTTATTGGATTCTGAACCGTGAGAAGGGGCCATGTCAATCGTTGACGTTATAGAACTGCGACATGAGTCCATGCTACTATCCACTGACGAACGAGAAGAAGTTGAGACACCAACTGAATATGCATTCGTAGTGTTGGCTGAGATGGATCTTTCAGTGCATGGTTTCTCTAATATAACAATAGCGTGAGCAAAACAGTTATACACTTTAAACAATATTTTTGAGGTCATCATTAAGTTCTTTTTCTTCTCAGAATTGCTTTATCATGCTGAAAATCCACCGTATATAAAGAAAACTATAATTCAAGTAGGCAAGGAATGATAAACATTACAAAGACTTCTCCACTCTGGAAGGTACTTGAAAACTATATAGCAAATTCATTAATGCCTAAACTAACAACAAGCTTATCTCAAAGGCCAACCACCTATGATGTAATTTTTTTTATTGTATTTAATACCGTAGGTAAGTTGCCACTAAAACTAGAATGCTGTAATGCTATTTGCAAATAAACATTTAAAATAAAAACCATCTGCAAGTATATTTAGTTTCAATACTAAGAAGACCCTTCCATACAAGCTTTATACCCAAATTAGGTGAGCCAGATGTCATTAACAGCACTTTGAACTCACCACTCAATATAGAGGATTGAACTCGATCACCCTACAGAAACAAAAGTAGTCAATCTAAAATTTAGTCCACGCAAAAGAATAACATCTAATTCTCAAGAAAACACAGGTCCTGAATAAGCTTAATTGACATACATTGGCTCCTTTATGCAAGTCAAATTCCTGACCATGATCATCCTGCTCCTTTTTCAATTGGTTATCTGGGTCCCGTCTGTCAAATAATTTATCATAAACCAAAAGATAAGGACTGAGACAAGAGTAACTGGTTACAATTTACAAAGTAAAACTGAACCAACAGATATATCAATCTCAAATAAAGTAAGAGCATGTGTGGTGCATGTCCCTTTTTGGTATGAAATTGTTTCTTACCAAAAATAATAATAATAATGAAAGCACGGATGATAGTAATTATTTACAAAATAAAATTGAACCAACAGATATATCAATCTCGAATAACAACAGTAATAAAAGAACTGATGATAGTTTACGACCCACATGTACTTTGACGGCCTCATCATGGGATGGGGCCCCAATTCTTTTCTGGACAACCATAAAGAAAGAAATATATTTAGGAAAGGCAAATTATTTCAAACCTCCAATTGATTGCAGCATCAGTGACACCTTCAGGCTGCAAGGAGGTTGGGGAAAATGGAGAACAATTATGAATAGGAAAATGATAAACTTCAAAACAATGACTAACATGGATAAACTTATATAGCATGCCAATGAACTAATTCATACAAACAGTTAGCAGTGTTTTATCAAGTACTAATTCTAGTCTTTGCAAAAATATACATAAATAAATAAAAAGAAAAATACATACTGTAATATCTTTGAGGAGGCCATCCCAATAAATACAAGAGTGTTTCTTAACTATCCTTTTAATAGGGTTATCACTCCATTTAAAACTTGATACTTTTAGAAGCATACGCTGGGTGGGGGGTGCAACTACTACACAAGCAAGGCACGGAAACTTCACCTTTTTGCAATTTGACCCTTCCTTTTTCTGCTGTGCATCTCCCTTGTTGTTCTCAACATTGTCTCCCAATAGTTGTCTAACATCACTTTGCTTCCCAGTAACAGTAGGCAGTGAACCATGAGCAAACCCATTTTGATCTTGGACCAGGTCACTGTTTTTAGAATTACATGTGTTGGTAGTCACGTCAATTTCAATAAGCACATAAATCACACTAGAATATAATTGAAAACCTTCCCCATTTTTTTAGTTCAACAAATTTGGGGGGAAACAATTTAGTTCAACCTATAAAGGACACAATGCCTTAACCAGTCAAACTATGCTCAGGTTAGTAAAACCTTCTCCAATTTTGAAATACGAATTACTAAGCAAGAGATTATAGTTTTCTATACGATGCACAATGCTTGTTAACATGCCAATAAATAATAATTTCCTAAAGCTACTTTCATGTAACTGATTTAGTAGCAAGAATATGTTCAGTATATATGTAAGCCTAAGTAGGAGAGAACAGAATATCTCTCCAAATAAAATCAAGATGAAAATGGTCATTTTGAAGACAACATAACCTTCTCCACCACAGAAAGCTCCTTCTTTTAGGATAAATTCCTCAGTTCTAATTTTAAATAAGAGGCCGAGTTGACAACATTCCTCAAAAAAATTTCTACATATATTTTTTTTGGTCAGTTACTTTGTTCTTCTCAATTTTCTTCCATGTTAGAAACAAGGTTACATTTTTACCAATAGTGACCTTGGAAACAATCTTCCAGTTCCAACAACAATCATGCTTCGTGAGAAACAGCTATTACCAATAACATCACTCCAAATGCCACATACAAAAGAATATCAACCTCAAAAATTTAGACCAGATTGCTATCAATCCATAAATATATAACATATCACAATGGAAGTATACCTTGTTTGATTAATCTGACTCCCCTCCTTGAACGACTCCATACATGTCTTAGTCTCTGTCGCTGGAAGCAACGAAGTGGGATCATTGACCATGGATTCGTTATCACAAACAGCCAAACTTTTGGAAAAACTACCAGCCGGAAGTAGAACTTCCTGTACATTTGAAAAACCCAGTATGACCTAGATTTAAACTAAATTAAATTTAATAACATGAAATTGCGAAATAAAAGTGGCCTTAATTACATACCGTCGCAACAACTTGGACAAGATCACCAGAAAGAACGATAAGAGTATCAATTACAACTCCATCATCAACATTCACATTCCTTTTACCCTTTTTTGTCATCCTTGCTTTCTTCAGAACGACGCCTAGTGATAAACAGATTGATTTCATAACTATAGCCATTTGTCATTAGGGGAAAAGAGGTAGGGGAATCACGGCAGGTTCCATTAAAACATTGGAGGATAAAAAAAATATATCAACAAATTCAATTAACGACATAGGTGCGTCTCCTGTCCCAGAGAACGCGATGGAAAAGAAAAAAGAATAGATGCCAATCTTTTCATCCATCCATGCCCAAATCAGATTTCGGATCCAAATCATCTACACACCGTGCCACCAAATGCACGCGATACATTTTATATATATAAAAAAACAAATAAAAACCGATACAAAAGCAGGACACAAATTGACAAAAGAACGAACGTATACAGCACGATTCAAGCAATTGATAGATTCAGGGGAAATAAACGGAGGAAGCAAAGACGAATTAAGAAGAAGGCAATGGAAACGCACCATATTCATTCTCGACACATGCGGTGTGGAAGATGCCGGAATAGACGGAGCCATCCTTGATGTGAACCTCAACGGGCAGGCCAATGAGGCACATGGTGGCAAAGAGCAGGGCCTCGCTGAGCGTGGAAGAGCAAGTCTCATCCTCCGAAAACTCCCTGTTTCTGCAACCCATATACCAGTTTCTGAGAGTGAGAGAGCTGGATCAAACGGTGGTGTTCGTTTCTGTGAGAATAAAAAAAGGTGGAGTTGCAGAAACAAGATCTAACGGAGAAGAAGAAGAAGAAAGGGAAAATGAGAAGAAATTGTATTTTGGCTGTTGCGTTACGTGCGCTGCGTACTGCTTAACCGTGCTTCACTGTCTCCAATGGTTTTTTTCCCCCCTTTTTGGACGCCGCCTACCCCTCATTTTTTTCCGTATTCCTCCAATTTTAATTCTTTTTCCTTTTTTAAAATAATTATTTTTTATTTATTTACTATCCTAATTTTCTTTTTCGAATTAAACCATTCAATTATTAATACTTTTTTCGAAATTAAATTACAAATTTTCACTCAATTTCCACCCTGGAATATCTACGTGGCTGAACCCAGATGGAAACCAGATTTTGTATGGCAAGGACCATTTTGCAAATTCCAACTTTTTAGGTCCTCTTTTGTAATTATTCCATTCTATTATTTTATCATTATTTTTCTAAAAATTCTCTACCTTATCATAGCCATTTTTTGCCTTCCTCTTGAGACCCCTTTCTCTATATTTAATTAAAAATACAAGAAATTTGCTACTAATTAGTAAAATGACAATTTTGCCCTCTTTCTCTTTTAGGGTAAAAACTGTTTTTATGATCGCCATCCATTAAATATTAAGAGAATTAATAAAATTTTAATGCTTTCCATAAAAAGACTATTACCAATAAAGACATTTTAAAATGTTTTTAAATTCTCGAGTTTTGATGTTATAGTAATAATGGTTTTGAAAAAGTTGGGAATATTTTTAAATTTTTTTAAGGGTATATCGGTAAAAATATTATTTTATGATGAAAGATATTTTTTAAAGCATTTTTATTATTGAAGCATAACTGTAAAAAAAGAAAAAAAGAACGCTAAACCCTAAACCCTAAACCCCACCTTCTTCCCAAACCGATTTTTGGCTGTATTTCTCCCACCCCCGTATTTGCCTCAGCCGCAGGCGCACCGCGACTGTTATTTTCCTCTCTTTCTATCTCCCTCTCTGCTGCAACTTCGTGCCAATCCCAGTTCCTTCGCAATGAAGCAGAAATTCAAATCCAAGAAGTCGTCTGGCAAGCAGAAGCGTCTATCCGAAATTGAAGAAATTAAGCTCTTGAATTCATGGATTCAATCCCAGAAACCCGACTCAGGCTCTAACCCGATGTCGCTTCCTCCACCTCCTGCGGGTGCTCCCCTTGGCCGCATCGACGCCGATACTTACTCTTGTTACGCCGGAGCTACTAAGTTTGATCAGTTGCCGATTTCGAACAAGACCAAGGATGGGTTGCGGAAAGCTGAATTCGTTGATATGACGGACATACAGAGGGCTTCACTGCCTCACGCCCTTTGTGGTCGAGATATTCTTGGTGCAGCCAAAACTGGTTCAGGAAAGACGCTAGCTTTTCTCATACCTGTAAGTTGATCGTGGATGGTTATATTGGATTAGAGGGCGGTTTATTTACAGGGAGTTTAGGATAATTTAGAAGCCTTTTTAACTTATTGTTGTTAAAAATTATAATGTGTGACGTCCCTTACCGCCAGCATGCATAATTGCTTAAACTGACCAATGGAATCCAATTTTCAGGTTCTTGAGAAGTTGTATAGAGAGAGATGGGGTCCTGAGGATGGAGTTGGGAGTATAATAATATCTCCCACAAGAGAATTAGGAGCTCAGCTTTTTGATGTTCTAAAAGCTGTTGGGAAATTTCATAATTTCAGTGCTGGCCTTTTAATTGGTGGTCGTAAAGATGTTAACACTGAGAAGGAGCATGTGAATGAGTTGAACATTCTTGTTTGCACTCCCGGTCGACTCCTTCAGCACATGGACGAGACTCCAAATTTTGATTGTTCACAGTTGCAGGTCATCATATTTAATTTCTCAATTTATTGATACCTTATTTTAACGATTAGGACGTAATTTTTGATGCCTGACTTAAAACGTCATTCTTGTCTACCTTTCCATTTCATAAAAGGTTATCTCTTTGCATTCCTAGACAGAAATTTGTTTGTTCTGATCTTTGTTTTAATCAACGCCCAGAATCTCTTTCATTTGTTGATGAGGGTTCTCTCTCTCACACATGCATACACCCAGGGAGGGTTATAAAAAATTAGGGGTCGAGTTGTAAAATACTTGCTTCCTTGGGATTTCCAATCTTGAATTTTTATTTTTATTTTTATTTTTGTCTTTCTCTCTATCTCACTCACTCTCTCTCTCTCTCACACACACAGGGAGTGATATAAAAGATTAGGGAGAGTTGAAAAATAATTAATTCCTATGAATTTCCAACCTTGATTTTTTTCTGTTTCTTTTTGTGTTGCTGCCTGCCTAATGTGCTTTCTACTGTTTGTTCTCAGTGATGGTTTGCATGTATATATAATTTGTTTCTGATTGTATGGTTCCTGGCTAGTGAGCAGGTTTTAGTCCTTGATGAAGCTGATCGTATTCTTGATGTCGGATTTAAGAAGACTTTAAATGCAATTATTTCACAGCTACCTAAGCACAGACAAACCTTTCTGTTCTCAGCAACTCAAACAAAGTCTGTTCAGGATCTTGCCAGACTCAGTTTGAAAGATCCTGAGTACCTTAGTGTTCATGAAGAATCTGTGACAGCTACCCCCAGTAGTTTACAACAAACTGCTTTGGTTGTTCCTCTCGAGCAAAAGCTAGACATGCTATGGAGCTTTATAAAGGCACATCTTAATTCTAAGATTCTTGTGTTTCTCTCAAGCTGCAAGCAGGTAACTGCTGGTGATACTTTTTGGTTACAAGTTGAACTTTTGATTGCACGAGATCTCATGTTAGACATCTTATTGTGGTTAGATTTTTTGCTGCATCTTTAGTTGATCAAACTCTATTCTTAGGTTGTCAATAGGTTTCCTGCATTTCTGCTGTTTGACTTGTTAAGCTTTCGAGATTAAAACTGTTTAGTCGACAACAATGTAAACATTAATTCATTTGATGCATCTTTGGAAATAGATCAGTATTCTTCAACAAGTACTCTGAAAACAAAGTAAACAAGAAAGAATCTTATAAAAAAAATAATAATGTCATATCTTTATGTACTATTCATTGTTGCTCCGATAATTGATATTTCTCACCATCGTTTTACAGGTGAAATTTGTTTTTGAAACTTTCAAAAAGCTGCGTCCTGGAATCCCATTGAAGTGCCTCCATGGAAGGATGAAGCAGGACAAAAGGATGGGGATATATTCTGAGTTCTGTGAGAAGCGGTCAGTCCTCTTCTCAACAGATGTAGCCTCTAGAGGTCTTGATTTTAATAAGGCTGTTGACTGGGTTGTACAGGTAAACTACTTAAAAGAAATGATCATGATTAATCTTCACTGGTGCTGGTGTATGATTCCAATCTTGTTCTTGTTTGTGAAGGTTGATTGCCCAGAAGATGTGGCTTCTTACATACATAGAGTTGGCCGCACTGCTCGGTACCATTCAGGTGGGAGATCAGTTTTATTTCTTATGCCCTCGGAGATGAAAATGCTTGAACAATTAGAATCTGCTAAAGTACCTATTCAGCTTATCAAGGTACATATGCTCTCTTTCTTTCTCACCTCCTATTCTCTGAAATTTTGCGTCAGTAATATTATGGAGCATTTATGGCATATAAGTTTTTGTTAACATTATTCAAGCTTATGGTAGGAGAGATAATTATGTTATTTTGTTCTGGGGTGCTTATGAAAAATATGAAAAAGATTAGTTATATAAAAGATAAAAGATAATCTGGGGTGGTATGGAGTGGGGTGGTTGAGAACTAGCATGTTCTTTTTATGATGATAATGAATGATGTTCTTTTTTACGTTGTAAGAAATGTGTGTCTAGTATAATGAACCGATGGAAGTGCTTATATCATAAATTAACTACGTTCTTACTGTACCATCATATCTACTTCCTTTTGTAGGCAAATACAAAAAGACTTCAACCAGTTTCTGGTTTGCTGTCAGCTTTGTTAGTCAAGTATCCCAATTTTCAGCAACTCGCTCAAAGGGCCTTTATCACATATCTTCGATCAATTCATATCCAGAAGGATAAGGAAATCTTTGATGTTATGAAACTATCAATTGACGATTTTTCAGCTTCAATGGGGCTGCCAATGACCCCAAGAATCCGTTTCATTGATCAGAAAAAGAGGTCACAGAAGATGTCGGCTAACACTACCACTTATCTTGCGTTGGAATCGTCTGATAATGAGAATGCTTTAAATCCATCCGGTGAAGAATTGGAGTATGGCGACTTTAAAGAAAGCAACCAAGGACTTCTTCCTCCTACTGATATCCCTACTAGTGAAGTTGAAGATGCTGTGTGAGTTTTTTGTTTTATATTTTTTCTATTAATTTAAATACAGAGGTTGGTCATGATCTTGCTAATTGATCATAGTTGGGGTAAATGTTAAAAATTACGATTTAGGAACTTTGTTAATTGATCATGCTAATTGATCATGCTAATTGATTATATTTTTTCTATTTTCTTTAGTTTTCTTGCATTCTAAGATTTAGGAACTTTGTTTAGGCCACGTACTCGGATTTTGAAGAAAAAGAAGTTGAAGATCAATGTCCATAGACCATTAGGGACGAGAGTCAGTTTTGATGACGAGGGCAACCCACTTGCCCCTCTTGCTAGGCTAGCTGACATCAAAAGTAGCAATGAGACATTTGTAGTCGACAAAGGTATGCCTTCTTTTTTTGTGATTACAATTATTTCTTTTTCTTTTGAGGCTCCTTCGTTTCATGATGGGTGGTGCTTTCTTTTGTATGGATTCTTGACCCATCAATTTTCTCAAGGAAAGCTTGTAAAATAAAAAAAAGGAAAATAAATCTTTTGGTGTAGAATTAATTTTTGTTACACTATACATAGTAAACAACACAAAGTGAAGATATCTAACTTTGAACCTGCCCTACTGCTTGTCTTTAAGCGTTAGTATTCCTATTTATTATTTGGTTCATGTGTCAGATCTAAAAAATGAGTTTTACAAAAAGAGGAGGGAAGAGTTGAAACAAGCTGACAAGGAAGACAAACTTCTCAATCATAATCGCCTTAAGGAGAAGCGGAAAGAGAAGATGAATAAGATGAAGAAGAGGGCTGCCAAAGAAATTGAGGATGACGATGACGTATCTGCGTCTGAAGAAGACAGACCTCAGAAAAGGTCCAAGAAATTTGTCGACTGTGATAGCGACATTGACAATAAAGCGGACTTAAATACAGAGTCGATTACAGTGGCAGAACAAGAGGAGTTGGCTCTCAAATTACTAAGTACTCTGCGCCCATGATTTACAACCAGGTATTCATGTTGAAATGAAATATTTTTGACACAAATGAAATTAAGGGTAGGTTCTTAGCATCATGAAGAACACATAATAGAAGGAGATGCAAAGTAATTAGTTTTAGACATTCCATTTCGAGTTCACATGTCTTTATTTTGCATCTTTAGGGAGGGAGTAAATTGTGTTTAAACGTTGAGTTGTAGATGTAGACGTTTGGTTTGTGATTCTGAATGAGCTGAGAAATGGGAGGAGGGTTCCATATATTATTATTATTATTATGTTAATAAAAAAAATTGATTCTAAATTAATTTATGTGGTTTCTTGCCTTTTATTTTGTGGGTATGGGCAGGTATTGTAACACTGGACTTTGGGGGAACATATATATTATAGCAATTGATTTTGGTTTGATTTAATATACTATGCTTATGAACCCTTAGTTTTGATGATGATGTTTTAACATTCCTAAACTCATCATGGATATTGTTAAAATAGAAAAGAAAGGAAAAAATATATGGAATTAGTAGTTTTTCATAATTGAAGGTTTTTTTTTTTATAATAATAATAATTTTATTTTACAGAACACACATGGGTTAAATAAAATTGTATCAAAACCCAAATATGATTCTGCTACACTTGGTTTTCAACCATTTGATTCCTTTCTTTATGGAACTCTTTACCTTCCCTTCAACAGTATAGAATCTGTACTTGGCAACACGCCGCCGTCTCTTTATTTTCGGGTTCTTCCACCACGCCCTAGTTGAACGTTTTGATGATTCCGATGTCTTGATTATATGTCGTTTCACAAATGATGAGCTGATGATAACTCGCTTTTGTGACTGGTTTAATTTCATATTATTATCGCTTAGTTTATTTTCGTCCATGGGTTCAAGGCTCCAATCAGTACTGTTGTGTGGATGGCGGTGAATGCCTTCCTGGGTCGTCATCTTCTCTCTATTATGATGGGTGATGAAAGGGATCATCGATAAGTATATATATATATATACAAGTTTTGTTGTTGGGTTTGCTAATTAGGACAAAAATTGAAAGGTTGTCAAAACTTGATGTGGTGGGAATGTTGTTCAGAGTTCGTTTGAGCTGCCAACACATCACATGAAACCAAACTGATCAAAACATCTTAATCCCTAAAATTATCTAAATTCTGTACCGAGAACGAACACTTTTTTAAAATCAAGGTCACTAAAGATCAAAAGATTTTGAGATATAAAAACTTTAAAGACATTTTTTTTTCTTTTTTGAAGATCTAATGACATTTTAAGATGAGTTAAAGGTATATGAAAGATACAATATTTTAAAACTTCAATCAATCCTTCAAGTTGATCGTCAAACCAAGTGCTCATCCAACGGGATCAACAAGTGAAGGATTGATCTAAGCAAATTAATAAATCGTGAATCTGGGATGCATCACTATCCATACCAATCTAGGTCACATGATTGGTATGAAATCGTGTAGTTACCCATCTAGGCAACAAAATCATTTGTGACAACTCATTATTCGACATGAGGCATCCCACCAACCTAGGCGAGACATCCCACTAATTAAGATAAGAATTGTGAGATCATAGTGTACCGAAAATATAGAGAGGTTTTCAAGTGACTTCTTAAGGCACAGATAGGCTAGGCTCGATTCATTTCTTGTCGTGGTACCTAGCTAAAAGAGCATTGTGTTGGTTCTAGTTATGTTGTATTATTAAATAAATCTAACTTGTTAGGTCTAGTCTTAGATCAAGGGCATAAATCCTAAGTTCATGAATCCAACTCTAAGGAGTTTAACTCGAGTAATAAGTGCGCAATAGAACAACACAAATATTTATGTACATATGTATATCTCATAAAAAATTTACGTAATCCATACTCCTAAGATCATAATTTAGAGTATCATAAGCATTAATCAAATTTACTTTTTTTTATTTTAACTTTTTCAAATCATAATTTGAACAACCCGTTAATAAGTATCTCGAAATATAATGGTAACTTCATATTTAAAAGTTATGGATAAAATTTTACGATAAAAATTAAAATTATAGTTTAAAATGAAGACTAAAATGAGTCAAACTTAAAAGACTCACTTTTATTTATTTATTTTTTCCTTCCTAAAATTGTTTGGCACAGAATTCCAAACCGCCCAAAAGGAGTAAATCTCAACCTCTGCGTCTCTATCTTCAACCAAAGAATGGGTTCAGAAATTTGTGGTTTCAAAACCTGGAACTTGCGTATTGCTTAAACGGCATAAACTGTTCCACGTAGTCTAAAAAGCTTTCCACAAACAAAACCATTGATCCTATGTGCATTCCTCTTCGCCACTAATTCAACTCAACAGACTTCACAATCTTTTGGCATTCTTCATTCCTCTGTATTGCTTTCTTCTTCTTCTTCTTCTTCTTCTTCTTCCTCCTTTCCAATGTCGATCTTAGTTCAAAACAAGTTCCTATTGAGCTCCAAAACACATGTTAGCCTGTGGAGCCCTGCGGTTCCACGCAAATTTGTCTGCTGCATAGCCAATACCACAGTCAATGTTGCTGCTGCTACCACCGCCGCCGCCAAACCCAAGCACGGTGATGGCCAACTAGTCATTGAACGAGAGCCTTTATCTCCTACTACACCTGTATTGCCCAATTCCTCCACCTATTATTCTGTTCTTAATGATCCGAGTTTACAATCGACCTGGAGTCATCGTGTGTGGGTGACAAGTGGGTGCACCATAGTGCTAATCTCTTTAGCAAAATCAATAGCAGGTGCAGCCAGTTCACATACCTGGCTTGAGCCTGCTTTAGCAGCATTGGTAGGCTACATTTTAGCTGACCTTGGATCTGGGGTTTACCATTGGGGCATCGATAACTATGGCGACGCCTCAACTCCAATTTTTGGCACCCAAATAGAAGCATTCCAAGGCCATCATAAGCGGCCATGGACAATCACAAAGCGTCAATTTGCCAACAATCTGTATGCTTTGGCACGAGCTGTGACTTTCACTGTACTTCCTATAACCCTTGCAGTTAATGACCCTATTCTACATGGTTTCGTTGCCGTATGCTCAGGCTGTATAATGTTCAGCCAACAGTTCCATGCATGGGCTCACGACAAAAAGAGTCAACTACCACCACTCGTAGTAGCAATGCAAGATGCTGGCTTGCTAGTGTCGCGATTGCAGCATTCTGCACATCATCGTCCACCCTATAACAACAACTACTGCATAGTAAGCGGAATTTGGAATAAGCTTTTAGATGAAACAAAGGTTTTTGAGGCGTTGGAGATGATCCTGTTCTTCAAGCTTGGGGTGAGACCAAGATCTTGGACCGAGCCTCATTCTGAATGGACAGAAGAGACTGAGATTATAGAACAAACTACAGCGTATTAACCGTGTTCTTCTTTCGATCATAATATGTTTTTCCTTGCAGAATGGAAGGACACAAAATTGTTTATTTGGAATATCTTCACATGTAAACTATATATAATGATTTGTTCTTTGCAGAAGTGCTTTTTCTTTATGCATTGTCCATCCAAATTCAACTAAAACAAATAAATAAAACATAGGGGGAAATGAAAAACAACAATACTTCTGACACAAAATGAAAATAATACATTTGCTTTGTGACATTCTATCGTACCACATACCATAGTTCTTGTTTTGTCCAAAATTATGATGTCAGGCATCAGTGCCGAGTAAAGATGAAATAGGAGAAACACAAGGAAACCAATAACGACGTCTACCATCACGATGGCCATCATCAATCATTGCAAGACCTTCCTGGAAAATTGCAAAACTCTTTTACAAATGCAATGTCTAATAGTGCTAGATAAAAGAAAAGAAAAGTGAGCTAAAACTTACATCCAGGAGAGTATCGAGGGCATCAACTGCACGACCAGAAGTCCAAGAAAGTTGTCTCTCTACCTCCTCCACAGTTACATAGCCTTGAGCCTGAGAGAACAGTTGTGGTATTGGGATTATTCTCTTTGTAACACAAATATATTGCAGTAAGGGCGGAATGGGAAAGTAACCTGGGCAAGCTCAAGAATTTCATTGTGATCTTTGTTCAACTCGGTTGGAACTGACCGGACAAGTTTTTTCTTGCCAACAGTAATTACCTCAAAACCACTTCCTAATATCTGGAGTAAATTATCAGAATGCTAGTGTAAGAACTCCAGGATGGCACTTCGTAAATTAACAAGATATATACTCCATTCAAAATAAAATATTTTACATTAAATAACAAACAATAACAAAAGTGCCCCAAGGAAAACATTAGTTAAGCACATAAATATTTGTACCACAAAAAGCACATAAACTATTCTGGTACGATCTCCCCTAGCAACATAACATAAAGGTAAGATTTAGATTGGAATCAACCTACCCAAGAGGAGAAAATTTTCCTGTGAGAATAACTACTTTCATCTCGGTCATCCCAAAAATGAAGAAAACTTTATCCCGCCAAAAAAGAAAGTACTGTTGTCCACATTGATTTTGATGCATTGAGTTTATTCATATATTGAGGAATAAATCACGGAACTTGTAGAAACTATTTGAATATTGAATGAAATTTATATATATCTTTCTAAATGTAAAAATACGTTTAAAGTACTTGTGTATATGAATGTAAATGAATAATGGGTATCTTGCTTATTATATACAATCTAAATATCAATATTACTATTACCAATTTTAAACTAAGAAAATTAATTAGAGGTACGATTATATATATAAAGGTAAAAATCAATTTATGTCCCTAAACATTAGGGTTGTATTAATCAAAATTGTAAACTAATAATTGTATCAATTTAAACCCAACACGCTCATAAATGAATATTTAGACTCTTCATTCGTGATTTATAGCTATTTCACTCAATTCCATTTACAACTAGCTAAAAGCATTTAAATAAAATTATTCATCTCCCAAAAGTCTTACCAAAGTAACAAGAAAAATTATCACAAAGTTCTCCTAAATAAGAAGAGAAAAATAGAAGAAGATAATAAAATGAAAAATTGTTCATATTAAAAAAAAAAAAAATCCTACTATCTATTTGTGTCTAGCATCTCTCTAATTTATGTTAATTTCTACATGTACGGAAGTCTTATGCATGTGTGAAAGCTATCCATCAACAATTTTAAAATGAAATTTTTATGGAGGCACAAAATTGATTCACTAATGAAAGTTTACTGTTTTAATTAATACAGTTATTAGCTTGGGGTTTTGAGTAATATACCCTCCAAATTTAGAGGTATAAATTAAATTTTTTTCCCTAAATATAAAGAGCGAAATAAACCATATAAATTAACTTTCAATGTAAATCTTAAAATTAAGATTCTTTTACACAATAATGATGGATATTCACAGACACGAGGGAAAATGTCAATACCTTCAGTTTACTTATAGCTCGCAGGCAGTCATCCTCAGAAACAGCTTCACGATCACTTTTTCTTCTCTGCCGAAGCAAGGTACAAAGTTCTTGTAAGCTAATCAAGCCTCCATTGTGGGGTCTTGTAGACAAGCAAATGTCAACAATTTGCACTCCTGTCTAGCAAAATAGTTTAATTACATTTAGCAAACACATCCAGAAAGAAGAGTGAGGTATACTAGAACAATTACGCATAATAATAATTTATTCTTTGTCAACTGTTAATATCTTTAATCAATAAGCAAAGAAAACACATTCTGAATTTCATATGAGAAATTTAAAATTCATTACTGGGCTGAAATACCATTGTTTTTACTTCACACTTCTAGAGTGCGGGAAGTTCTCCTTCCAAGTTCTAGGTCAGAATAAGAATAAAGAGGCTACTATATATATATATAAAGAAGCAACTAAGCCATTTCCCCTGGTTTGTCAACTCGAGAAGAAATCCAAATGAAAATTCCTTGACCTAGACACAGAGGACTAGCATAACATGTCAACTCAGACATAACCATGAACCGGAAACCAAAATGCTATAAGAATTTTACATGCCATCAACCCTTTAAGCAAAAGAAATATCTTCTAAAGTTCGAGAAGAAACATCGAGCAAACAATATAAGATAACAATAAATCAATAGAATACACCTATCAAGAAGCGAGAGACACATCAACCCCTCCTTTGACATGATAAATCACAAAACTTTCTTTTACTTCAATCTGATAAGATCAAATGCATACCTACCAATCTCGTAATAGAAATCACCAATGCCTAATAGCTCTGCCCAAAACCCCTTGTTTGAGGCCAAGGGATCTACTCCAACTTTAGCACACATTTCATGAAACTGTGATCTGAAAGCCGGGTTCTTGCTGATATCTTTCTGCACAAATCAAATTAGTGACTTGAAGTTCAATTTTATTAAGGAGGAGAGAAACTGACACTACTTTGCCAGGGCCAAAAAGGAGAGAACCATGAAACAACACAAGAAGCAATCGAGCAGCATTCACTAGTTTTTGGTTCAGGAATAATTTGGAAGCAAGAATAAGCCGCCATTACAAAGTCGAAAGAGTAGTACAATAATTTCCCACTCCAACGTGAACAAAGGAAGCATTAATCCAAGTGAAAGCATTCAGCAACAGCCTTAAATTCGTAATCACTTTAATATTGAGAAACAAAATTTCAAATTAAATAAAGTATATCTCAAATCTTAAGTCAGAAATTCCAGCAGATAGCTTCATTCATCTTATAAATTTGATAGCAAAATACTGGAGAGGAGTTGTGGGAGGAATAAAGACCTTATGTTTGCGCGCGAAATCCTCTAACTGAGATCGAAAGGTGGAGAGCTGCTCCTTCATCATATCGGTTCTGAGCTTCGCTACATTTTCACCCAGCTGACGGTATTGGTCCTAGAAATAAATATTATCATCACCGGTTAATCAATGGAAAACACAATCAAAAAATATGAAAATAACGTCAAAATAAATGGAGACGAACAATAAACCCATAGAAATCCAAATATTTAAGCAAATAAATTCAAAAAATTCATAAATTTTGGAGGAAAAGACATAGATTGAGCAGAAAAGAACCCTCGCTGCCGCAGCCGTCTGCAGGCCTCCAATGCCAGGTCTTCTCCTCATTTTCACTTCGATTTCTTTGTGTTTCTCCGATCCAATGCCTCGATATTGGACTCAATCGGGTTCTTCAACGAGGTTGAGAACCAGAAATTGTCAAATTTTATTTTGGGGACGAGAAACTAAAAAAAAAAAAAAAAAAAAATATATATATATATATATATAATATTGTATTCTTTTTTATATTTTCATTTATCCATTTGGGAGATGCATTTTTTAAACTGTTTTCTAATCCAGTAATGAAAATCGTAGAAATTATGAAAACTATATTCTCCTTATACAATACAAAGATTTCTAATTCCAAAATTTTCAGAGAAAAATATATTAAAAAAATACCCAATTTAATAAATATAATATTTTATGTTCTTAATTTAATTTATTTTGGTTCAATTAAAATGTGTAACTATATAAAATTTATAAATAAAAAAAAAATTAATTAATTAATTAATAATAATGTATATTGGCTATTTTATTTCGATGGATTGGTTTCAAATTAAATGGCAAATCCATTTTGTACCATACACTATTTTCTTTTTAAAACACCTCTTTCATATCATAATTCAAATTGACTTTAAGAATGGCGACTATTTCCATAAACTAACATATATTCTTTCATAATGTTTTGTACTCATTCATGTGCTTCTTAAAAAAAATTCTTAGGTCACTGAATATTTAGAATCAGCAAAGAGAATTATACACCTTGTTAGTATTTAAGTCTTTTTTAAGTGTTATATCCTAAACGAACACTCTCATTCGCATGTTGTCCTCTCCTTTATTCAGATATCACACAAAACATCAAACAATTTGGATAGAATATGGTAAGAAACAAACATCCTATCATATTTCGATATTGAAATGAATTGGTATAGAGACTTCAAACCAGAATTGGTTTATCACAAAGTTGAATTTACTTATATTAGCTACTTCACAAAGGCTTACTTATACCAAAACCAGGATATAGCAGATGCAACTTTTCACAAGAAAACTACGTTCTGGAACTTCAACCTCACAACCTTATTGCTGATACATTTAAGAAATTTGTCAAATGCAGTATGTTGGCACGCTGCTCGGTCGATAGACGAAAGGCCTGACAGTATGAGAGTGACCAGATGGATGCTTGTAACTGAATTTCACTCCCGAGCTATTGGCACCCAGTTGGGTGCAGTGTTCATGGAAACTGCTGATCGGCCGAGCAAGACATGCATCCCATCGGTCACTCTCCGACATCGTCTCTGCAACAGTGTAGATACCTTTGGAGTTTGTAAATGCCTGGTAGTTTAGAACTTCTCCTGATCTTGTTATGCACAGAACAGCTACTTCAGCACCTGAAAATGACACGAGAATAAGAACCACAGTATTTATATCTCAACTAAACTATCCAAAATGCAACAATGGCAAGAAGAAGAAGAAGATGATGATGAAGATTCATTTCATTTTGTTCCCAAAAAGATTCC